GCCTTTTCGCGCTTCTCAGTTCTATCGCAATTAATGCCTTTCAAAAAACCGCGTCTGATTATGTTTTTTGAGAGGCCAGGGGCATGTTGTGCGCACCCAACTTCTTGGGAAAACTTTTCTTTCACGATTGTCAATACATCCGAAATGTTGTCAGAATGCAACTTGTAGCAAGAAAAGCACTCTGTAAACATGTTTTCTAGCTTGCTCACAAAACTGTACAGGTGGCTAGGTGGATACAACAGTCCAGCTTTGTCACGAAAGGTGGTTAGACGAGTGAGCTGAAAATCTTCTCCTTGAGCTGGCATCGTGAGTAGTGTTATGCAAACTTCGCAGTTTGTTTTAATGACACATTTTCGTGCAATATAGCCAGCAACATAAAAGATCAGCCTGGAATCACTTCTAGCAATATGCTGGTTGTGGTCAATAGGTGCTGGCACTATAGGCTCATTCACAGTGCTTGCACTGCCAACTGAATCGTTTTGTGGCAGTGTGTCAGTAGCAGCATTGATCTCCAGCAATGAAGCTAGCTCTCCTTGGTCACAATGCCCCCGACTGTTTTCACAAGACCATAGAATGACAGACAAGTAATGGTTAGCAAAAACTGAGTTGGCGTGGGGTGGTCGTTGCTGCCGGATGACTGACGTATAATACCAAATAAATTTTCGAATGGGTTTTGGCTGGTCTTTGATGTCATTATGTATTTAAATGCTACTTTCGCTGTCAAATAAGAAAGCATTTCTAGCACACTGGTTATAGTCACACGCAGTCCAGTCACATAGATTATATACACGCAGTCCAGTAGTACATACTTCGGCTGAAAATAAAGGTCACACACGGCAGATGTGTCGTCCAGGGCTTCGTCCGCTCGACGCAAATTTCTTTCCCATTGCTTCTTCGGGGCTGCATCCTTCGGAACGCCGAAAAAACACGGCTTCTTGCTGCCCTTCACGTGGACGTAACCTGTACGACATCCTGGCGCAAAACAGTGGTTTTGCCGTCGCGGAAGCATTTTAACCTCGTTTGAGGGTCACTGCTTGTCAGGCCACATCACTGTTCGCTGAAGAACCTAGGGGATTGAGGATGCAAAGCGCGACGAGTTCTCAAAGTAACAAAACTCACACACACCGACCGCCACTCCAAACAGGCAGCAACTGCGCCAGCGCCAACGCTCGCTACATTTAATGCGGCGGTGGCGCCACGCCGCGGAGGCACGCCGAAGCACGTTTGTGTGACAATGGCGCCGTCACCGCAATGCATGACGCCGGCCGGCGAGTGAGCCCACTACCCTATTCTAGCTCACTTTAACTAGGTGGCCCAGCAGTTTATGAACATTGCGATAGCACAGTGTTTTTGGACTGAGTTATGAAGTGGCCTGACAAATTTGTATACACAGCAAACGGTTGAGAAGCATTCTGGCTTTTGTACTTGAAGATTTTTTTTTAGAAACATAGACCGTAAGCATTGAGTGCATACGAGGGGCTTGCTTTTGGGTGCGTTCTTACTCACTACTTGCTTTCTGAAAAGCTGGTATTGAGGCGCGAAAAACTCTCTGCAAAGGGGTGGTTTCATCAAATGTGGAGGCTAAAACAAGCCTTTTTTTCTGAATTTCCTCTGTATGCTGGGGCACTCCACACGAACGGTTGGACACGGCAAACGTTTAGAATATATTTTAACTCGCCTCCGAAGTGTACCTGAATGCTCATTCTCCCGACCGAAGCCCATTACAAGCGCGTCCAGAACTGTTGTAGCTCTCTAGGAAGGCCAACGAAAGTTGCAGTGACGTCGCACCAGATCTATATTGAGCGTAGGTGTGCCCAGGTTTACCCGCCAGGAGAAACAAAGGTTCATCGCAGCGCACCCCCTCCCTATTACGTCAATGCATGGGTCTGACTTTGCGCCCCCTCCCTAAGGCGCAGCGCCCCTTTCCTATTATGTCAATGTGTGGGGCTGTGTTTGTACAACCCCCCTTGTAGGTGACTGTCCCTGTCCCGTGCGCACGCCTTTGCCCCTGTCCTGTGTGCACACCTATTGTAGTGAGGGGAGTGACTCAGGGGACCTCCGCCACGTACGTACCGGCAAAGCATTGTGGCTTCTACACGATGTAGATGCAGGTACTTGTGCAGCACGTGTGTGCGAGAAAGCCAGCGAGAGCAGACAATGATTCGCCAGACGTCACAGCCTTGTGTGGCCACGTGACCAAGCGACACTGCAACGTCACAGCCCAATTTGGCGCCCAGAAACCGAAACCGAAAATGGTCCACATAAAAAAAAGGCAATATTATCTTATTTAGCGAGAATAAATGAATCTTGGTGCGTGTATCATGCTTCTTGGAGCTATGCGAAATTCTCGCAGCAAAGAACGCGCAAGCCACAAAATAGTCCTTTTTGAAGCACACTAGCATCGCCAACAGGCGCGCAAGCGCAATAGAAAAAGTTGGTATGCCCTAGCAGCCGCAAAGACAAAGTGCGCGGTCCTCACGCTTCAACTTGTCATTTGCATCATGCCAGCAGTTCTCAGATCAAGGGAAACGGCAAGGTGTGATATATTACGGCGTGATTCACTCACAAACTTCAGTGTTTAGGTGCGATGGCCTGTTTACGATTTGCACTTGTCCCCTGTTCAACCTGCTCAGCGGCTCAGAAGCGAAGTTAATTATTATTATCTTTTAGCGTCAATCCGTCTTCGGCATAAATAAAAAGCAGTACAACTTGGTGCAACCACAGTCCATAAATTCACGGATGCATTAGGAATGAATGTCTTTTGATGCTATCTACGAGTAAAGAAATAACCTGTATTATTCTGTAAAATAAAATACATTAACTATACCGTGTGCACGTCACTTGCACGATATGCACATGCAACTTTCCTTGGCATTGCAAGTACAGGTTGGAATAAAACCTACAAGATGAAAAGAAAGAAGTAGGACCAGGAAGGGAATATGCACGCTCGAAGTGCTCACTCACAACTGAAAGGTTATCGTGCGTGTTATAAAACATATGTTAGAAAGTGGAGGTGGATCGCGCATGTCACAAAGAGGCACAAAAAGGCAAACAACCAAGATGCATGTTTACAGTTGATCAATAAAATCAAGTTTGTTGTGTTGTAACGAAAGTAAAGGTTAATGACTTAAACAAGGTGTGGTGTTCTTCATGATATGTTTCCAAGTTTTCTTGCATGGTCTGGTTGGGTGACTGTGCAAGATTACCAGGCCTTCAAAGATGAAATTGCATTTGCATCACTAAAAGTACAAGGTGCAATAAGAAGGCTTCGTTCACTGAATTTTGAAGCTCTCTGGGGCGAGTGTTCATACATGAACCAGTCTGACCGATGTATATATTTGAACATAAGAGGAATTTGATCAGCAACTCTTGCACAACAATTGAAAGAACGATTGGCATGCCTCTTATACTACTTTTCTCTGCCCTGTGCAGACCCCTGCGACCTTTTGCACTCTACGGAAAAAATGTTATTAAGCTTTTGGTGCGGAAAACGCAACCCTCACCTCGTATCGCTTCCTTATTTCCTTTAAGTATGCATTGAATAACTGCAATATTCCTAGTTTATTCGCGGAGAAAGGCCATCCGAATTAATTTTTGTTTGCAGTGCGAATGAGTTGTTCACAAACAATGCAATTTGATAGAGGCAGGACGCCGCGCCTTCTTGCAGCTGGAAACTATTGCTCAGGTGATGTGCCCAAGTTTCTTTTTTTTTTCTTTGCAAAGTGTAAGTACAGCATCATTATTCCTCATTGAATAATAGTCTTAGTCAATGAGGAATATACTGCCAGCAAACATGCTCCGCAGAGACACTCAAGCATATTATAAGAAATGGCAAGTTATCACAGCATAGGTATCTTGCACGTTAATTCTTGTTCCATCCCTTCGTCCTTAAACAGGTTTAGAATGTGTTTACTTTTTCTATTTACAGTGCGTGACTTGTCTATAAAAATTGAAAAAAAAAGAAACTATAGCTGTAGCACTTCACTGCAGTCTTGTGTAAACGGCTTAATCAAACCGCAATGCTATTAAAAGCCATAGTGATGTATGAGCACTTCATTGTTGAAGAACTATAAATTCAGTGTTCCAGCTCACATTCCTCACTATAGCATGTTTTAGCAACAACTCACTTGCTGCTCATCTTCTACGTTCGATGTACACCCGCCAAGTGATACCTATACTGACTGCATTATTCATTTCAGATTTCATGTGTAGATATACGTGCAGGTACACTCGGACCCTATTTAGCAAGTGATGGCATGTTCTTTTAAATAGCTCTTTCACTTGGGTGAGTTGGTACATAATTGGATATGCTTCAGTGCGATTTAGACGAAGACCATAGGAGATGCACAGACGAGCACTGTCTGTGTTCTGTGTGCCTCCTATTGTCGTCGTCTAAATTGCTCTGAAAGCTATCCAATTATGTTCGTTTCATTTTGTGCGCGCACGGCGCCAATGAGCAGCGGGCGGAGGAAGAGCCGGCCTGCTCGGCGTACCAACTCTTCCCATGGTACTCCTTGAGCCCGCAGGGCATTGCTTTAAAAGGGTCTATTGGTGGCACCACTCCTTTAAAAAACGCACTAATGTGAAAAATATGCACGAAGAAAACCCCTTCCCAAATTGCAAAAAAAGGTGATATTTTTCGGAATTTTGTGCATTTAAGGCAGAGGCATTCCAAGGAAATCAACTCTTAGAAGTTCAGTGCTCCATGTTCTTTCTTCTGTCCCCTTCTGTGAGTTGTACTGATTTGCACTCATAATAATGAGTACTCACTAGTTGAGTAATCTTGCTTTGATGTGGCAGCTGCTATTGTTTAAACTGTTGGGAATGTTTTATGTTTGCAATTTTTGTCTTTCTCATTTTTGAATTGTTGGTTTCACTGTTGCAGGAGTTGTGGCATAAATAACAAATTTTGTCTGCGTGTTTTCTTTTCAAGGGATGAGTAGGATTTTACAGTTTTGTATGCCCTCTCAAATGTCTCTTCCTGTCTGAATGTTCTGCAGCATTTCATCAATGCAACATCTTGCTGGGGATATGAGCCTGACTGCTCTGCACAAAACAGATACAATGTTGTCTCCTGTCCCGAGGATTCAGCTGGCTGGTGAGTTTCACACTGTGCACCACTGCAAATTTCCCATTGAAAGACGAAACAATGTAATTTTTTTCTGTCAGACTTTTTTGTTAGCATGCCTTCTAGAGTTGAACTTCACTGCTCCTTGTAAGCATTATGAAGGGAAAGGATGAAACATTTAATAAAAACAAAAAAAATCGTTTTCCTAATTGAGGCAAGCGACGACAATTGGTCAGCTGGGTTTCTCTGCTCCTTGGCCCCAGCCTCTTCCCGCCCCATGACTCAGACTAACTCGTTAGGGTCAGAGCTTTTGATGCTCCGATATGTTTTCTATGCTGCTTCTAACAGTGTCAAGGAAGTTGCATAGCAGCTACCCGATCGCCAATAGGAATATTCCAAGTGCCGTATCACTCGCCGAATGGTGTGTCACTTGCCGTAGTCTATGCCAACCTGCGTAGCTTTCTTCTGAAGCGTGACCTGGTATCAAGCACAGTTGTATCAACAGGTAGCGATATACTGCTATTGACTGAAGAGGGGATGCAGCTTTCGTATCGTGTAAAATGGCAAAAAGTCGATTTTTTAAAAATCAAGTATTTAGTTTCTGGAACCCTTTTTCTATCTGATTCCAAAATATCTAAACTGAAGACCGTGCAGAAGTGCTTCTAAAAATTCGTTTCACCTTCATAGGTAGCGAAAATACCTCTAGAAATCGGAAGAAAACGGCGATTTTTAAAAATTCATAGCTTGGCGTTGGCGCGGCCGGGAGCCGGCTTCTTAGGCTTATCTGAAAGAGCATTTTTTCGCGTTCAAGTTTTTCACCTCAGCTGGCTCCTCCCTTCAAAAACAAGCACACAAAAAAGAAATGTTTGAAGGCAGTTTCGAGGCCCCTGATTTGCTGCAGCTACCATGTTGCACCAGCTTGCCCCGTCAATGGCCTAATGCTTGCTCCGAGAGATGGTTGTCGGCTGCTTGTGCGTCACGAGGACATGGCTGTCGGAAATCGCTACCTCGTGATGTGTTCAAGGCTCAACGATCACTTAGAATATTGTCACGGGGTCGTGACGTGAATGAATGAAGCAGACTGCAGGTCGAATGTAAACTGTTTGTTTGGGCCGAAATTGTGGTCAAGTAAAAGGAAAGTCGGATTACAGCAAGACACTGGCACTGATAGCGGCGAGCAAAGCGTCGGTCGTCGATCAACTGACAAGCGGGGAAGCGCGTCAGCATTTTTACACGTGGCGTCGTACATTCTAGTGTTATCGCTAGCGGCCTTATAAGTTGCAGAATAATCTATGTCCGCGAAGTGGGCGTAATCTTAACAAAACTATCTATTATAATCGTGAACCTTCTAGAACAATGAGGCGCAGTTTGCACTGAGCATTCCAGACAGGCTTTGTTGCCAAAAACCGAATGAAACATAAGTGTAAATAAGAAACACGCATGGCAATATAATTACGCTTTAGTTAGGAGCTGTAAGCGGATGCTCGATCAGATTACTACGAGCCAGCGCATGCTCACGAAGCGGTGCGTTCTCGGAGTAGTCTTTGTCTCTGCCGACGGCGAGACGAACTTTGTGGGTAAGAACGATGCGCTAGCGCACTCGTGAAAACGTGATTTTTCACAAGCAACGAAGCACAGCACTCACTAGCTCTTCGGAACTGCGGACGGGCATTTTATGCATTGGCAGCGGACCCCACAGTCAAGCTCAACCCCCCTCCCCTCCACTGCCAAGGATTGCTCGGAACAGCTGCTAGCAGTTTAGCTTGATGGCACCTTAAAGTGGGACACCAAGCGCAGTGCGCAACAATTTTTTGGCATCGTAGCTACACATTTTCCACATCGTCGCCGAATGCCGCCGCCAAGTGCGTCACACGCTGGCTGCTCTGTCCACGTGGCTGTGCACTTCATGGTCATATGGAGTGCTGTCAATAAGCTTTTGTGATGGGATTTAGACTTGGAGCCGTGCTTGGTATCCTCGCGAGCATCTATAGATGTTCTGAGACAGTTCTGAGACAATGAAAGCCTCGTAGATTAGCGTTTCTGCGACTGGCAGTATGATGATGCTTTTCTTGGCTAGAGTGGCAAAAAAGCATGCATGAAGCAGTTCCCGACCCGACCAGCATCATTAAATAACATATGCCCGACCCGTATCTGCATATGCCCGACCCGCATCATTAAATAAAATGCCAAAAAATTACTGTGCCATGAGTTTTCTACCCATAACTGTTCGTTATTTGGAAAGAAGGCATAGGCTGTCATGGAGTGAGCCATTTTTCTGATGCAAAAAAACTTCTGTCTATATAAAAAGTGTTCAGTGATTATCTGTAATTAAGAAGGACCTAATTATATTAATGACAGCTACAACACAAGAAAGATGTGTAATCATTTCAGTATATGGCCTTATTCAATTGCAATCTTTTTTGTCATGCCTATCACACCATTCCTTCAAACGGAAAAGTTGGTTTGAAATCCATACTTGTTCCTAATATATATATAAAAAAAGGAGGTTATCAAAAATAAAAATAGGCAACAAAGGCACACTGGGCAGAGTCCACATGCCTGAGAAGTTAAATATCACAAGACAAATCCAAGATCATAATTTTTAGATTTTTAGAGTTTAGAGAAGGTGAAATGTAAGCGCAGCTTTCTCAATACTTTTCTTTTTTGGCAATATGCTCAGCTCGCGAAGCAGATATATTGGCAACCACTTCACATATCTTGATTCTGTTTGTTTTGTAGCGCTCCTTGAATTGTGCTTTAGGGGGCTGCGACCTTAGTTTTTCCTTTTACTTCCTAAAGAACTTTTCGTAGGGCTTCTTGCTTGTAGTGCAAGTGTGCTCATTGCAGTGTCTCCAAAGAAAACGTTAACTACAAATTTTAGTGTTGCAAAAAAATTATTTTCAACATGCAATCCCCTTCAGCATACATTTGGCTGTTCGTACAGTAATTACAAACTATTTCTGTCATTTAATAAATCTTCCAGCACCTCCACGAGGCTCAGTGAAGAATATAATTTACCTCTTGTTAAATTTTTTGATATCACCTCAAAATTTTTATGAAAGTGCTGTGAGGTCATTCTTAGTGTTTGCGCCAATTTTCATCAATATCCAACCAGAAACAAGAAAGTTGGTTTCCGAAGGCACGTCCCTTCCTGAAACGTGGCTGAGTAGTGACGTCACTGATGGTGAAGTCCTATGGGACTTGCCCAAATTTTGCCTTTATCAAAAAGACCGTGTGGGAACCCATGGTGGTGGTGTACTAATAGCACTATACAAGCATCTGCCATGCTCGCCAATAAGCATTCCATCAAGCCTGGAGATACAAAACCTCTCCTGAGAAAGTCCTACTTGGTGTTAGCTACAGGCCTTCAGGTGCCACTTCTGAATTCTGTTTCCAGCTTAATAACATTGTAAGCAAACTGGTGAAACAGCACTCCACTGTGCAAATCCTCTTATTTGGTGATTTTAATTTTCCACAAGTAGACTGGTGCAACCTACAATCATCGTCAGTGCCAGGGAACACAGGCAGGTGGAATTTGGTTGATTTTTGCCTGAACTTTACTCTTTGTCAGTTAGTAACAGAACCTACCTGGTTTACCCAATAGGTTGCTAACCTCCTTGATCTTGTGCTAACCGATTTTCCTGACACTCTTTCACGCATTAGCTCTTGACCTGAAATCAGTGATCATATACCCATTCATGCTGTTTTCTTATTCACTCCACAAGCATGAAATACATATGAGAAGACAACACGTCTCTATGACAAAGGTAAATACAAAAAGATTAACGAAGCCATAGCCTTATTCTTTCCTGTATTCTAGTCAACAGTTCCTGAACATTCCGTAGATGACAGCTGGATGTGCTTCAAAGATAAATATAAGTGAACTAACTAACAGATTTATTCTAAAAGTCACTTTTTGTTCCTTTTAGCAAAAGCCATGGTTCAGAACTGCCCTAATGTGTTTGGAAAAAAGAAAAAAAAGCACCTTTATCACACTGCGAAGAAAAATGGGCACTCAAGTGCATGGGATAATTATTATAAAGCAGGAAAGAACTACCTGCGCGCATTGCATCAGGCCAAACACACATGTTATCATAATAATCTGCCAAACCTATTAGTTAATAAAGCAAAGCTATTTGGGAAAGTTATTAACCCTAGTGAGATGCACACCATACAAATAACAAATGAGTCAAACGAAATTCTCAGTGATGCCGACTGCGCTAATGTGTACAACTCCGCCTTTGCAAGTGTCTTTACGAATGAGTCAAATGCACCTCTTGCACTTTGTATGAATTCTGCAATGCCACCTATCACCTTTACTGTAAACAGGATTTTTGCTGTAATTAGTTAAATGAAGTGTTCATTTTTCTCTGGTATAGATGAAATTAATGCAAAAATCATGAAAAACACGAAGTGCATAACCGCAGCCTATTTATCTTTGCTGTTCACCCAGTCTCATTCCTTAGGCTTCACTTCAGATGAGTGGAAAGTTGGGAAGGTTGTTCCAGTCTACAAAACCGGTAACAAAACATCCCCGCTATACTACCGTCCGATCTCATTAACAAGCATTCCTTGCAAAATCATGGAGCATGTCACCTACTATCTTGTCATAAGCTTTCTTGATTCAAATTACTTTTTTCATCCCGCTCAGCATGGATTCGGCAGAGGATACTCTTGTGAAACACAGCTTGCCATCTTTCTACATGACATTCATACTAATCTTGATATTAATAAAACGAGAGACATAATCCTTCTGGACTTCTGCAAGACCTTTGATAAGGTTCTCCACTAGCACCTATGATAAAAGCTTAGAAAACTTGACTTGCATGCGAATGTCTTGAGGTGGATTTGTGAATTTCTTACTAACTGCTCCCAATCCGTAATTATAAATAATCGCTTATCTAACTCAGTACTAGTAACATCTGGCGTTCCTCAACTATAGGTCCTCGGCTCTTTACTATTCTTCATATATAATACCGACCGGGGGAAGCGCATACACGGTACCTACGCTCCACGGCAAAACGGGAGAG